TTCCCTGATACCATCACCAGAAAAAGACAGTACAAGAAAACTACAGACCAATTTCCTCAACGAATACTGATACAAAAAATCTGAAAACACTACCAAATCAAAATCAACAGCACATTAAAATGATCATACACCATGACCAAATGGGATTTATCATTGGGATCCAAGGATATATATATGAAGATCAATCAATGTAATGCAACACATAAACAATGTGTTGCATGATCATCTCAGTCAATGCAGAAAAGGCATTTGGTGTAATTCAACACCCTTTCATGGGCTTTCCTGGTGGTGCAGTGGTTAAGAATCCGCCTGCCAATGCAGGGGACACAGGTTCGAGCCCTGGTCCAGGAAGATCCCACATGCCGTGGAGCAACTAAGCCTGTGTGCCACAACTACTGAGCCTGCGCTCTAGAGCCCGCGTGCCACAACTAGTGAGCCGCACACCACAACTCCTGAAGCCCCTGTGCCTAGAGCCCGTGCTCCGCAACAAGAGAAGCCTCCGTAATGAGAAGCCTGCGTACCATAATAAAGAGTAGCCGCCACTTGCCGTAAAAAGAGAAAGCTGGTGCACAGCAACAAAGACCCAATGTAGCCAAAAATTTAAAAAATTAAAAAAAAAAAGTCTACACTATCCAAAGTGATCTACGACTCAATGGACTTCCTATCAAAGTGTAATGGCATTTGTTTCAGAAATAGAAAATAAAAATCCTAAAATTCATATGAAATCTCAAGGAACCCTGAGTAGCCAAAACAATCTTGAAAAGGAAGAACAAACTTGGAGGTCTCACATTCTCAGATTTCAAAACGTACTACAAAGCAACAGAAATTAAGACTGGCATAAAGACAGATACATAAGCCAATGAATAGAGAACCGAGAAATAAACTCTTGCATATAGGGCCAAATGATTTTCAGCAAGGGTGCCAAGACCATTCAATAGGGAAAGGACAGTCTCTTCAACAAATAGTTTTAGAAAAAATGGGTATCTATATGTAAAAGTATTAATAGAGTTGGATTCTTACATCACATACAAAAATTAACTTGAAATGAATGAAAGACCTAAATGTGAGACCTGAACCCATTAGACTCCCAGAAGAACATGGAGAAAAAGCTTCAGGACATTGGACTTGGCAATGACTTCTTGGACATGACACCAAAAGCACAGGACAAATATCAAAATTAGAAAATGAGAATACATGACCAAAGTAAACAATCAACAGTGAAAAGGCAACCTACAGAATAGGAGAAAATATTTGCCAATCATATATCTGATGAGGGGTTAATATCCAGAATATATAAGGAACTTCTACAACTCAACAACAAACAAATACCCTGATTAAAAAATGGGCGAAGGACTTGAACAGACATTTCTCCAAAGAAGATATATAAATAGCCAATAAGCACATGAAAAGATGCTCAACATCACTAATCATTAGGGAAATGAAAATCCAAACCAAAACAAGATATCATTTCATACCCATCAGGATGCCCATTACCAAAAGAACAGAAAAATACAAGTGCTCAAGAGGACAGGGAGAAGTTGAAACCCTTGTGTAATCTAGACACTAACATAAAATGGTGCATCCATTATGGAAAACAGTATGGAGGTTCCTGCACAAATTAAAAATATAATTACCATACGATCCAGAAATTCTACTTCTGGGTATATATCTAACGTAATTCAAAGCAAGATCTTGAAAAGTTACTTGTATATCTGTGTTCACTGCAGCATTATTCACATGGCCAAGAGGTAGAAGGAAGCCAAACGTCCATCAACAGATTAACTGATAAAGAAAGTGTGGTATATACATACAATGGAGTATTTACATAGCCTTAAACAAGGGGAAATCCTGTCATATGCCACAACATAGATGAACCTTGAAGACATTATGCTAAGCGAAATAAACCAGTCACAAAAGGACAGATACTATAGTTCCCTCTCACAGGAAGTATCTCTCTAAAGTAATCCAAGTAATAGAAACAGAAAATAGAAAAGTGTGTACCAAGGGTTAGAGGTTTGCTGTACAACAATGTGAATATACTTAACACTACTGAACTGTATACTCAAAAATGGTTAAGGGCTTCTCTGCCAGAGCAGTCGTTAAGAATCTACCTGCCGGGACTTCCCTGGTGGCGCAGTGGTTAAGAATCTGCCTGCCAATGCAGGGGACACGGGTTCGAGCCCTGGTCAGGGAAGATTCCACATGCCGCGGAGCAACTAAGCCCGTGCGCCACAACTACTGAGCCTGCGCTCTAGAGCCCGCGAGCCACAACTACTGAGCCTGGGTGCCACAACTACTGAAGCCCGCATGCCTAGAGCCCGTGCTCCACAGCAAGAGAAGCCACTGCAATGAGAAGCCCGCGCACCACAATGAAGAATAGCCCCTGCTCGCCGCAACTAGAGAAAGCCTGCGTGCAGCAACGAAGACCCAACACAGGCAATAAATAAGTAAATGAATAAAAAAAAAAAAAAAAAAAGAATCCACCTACCAGTGCAGGGGACACGGTTCGAGCCCTGGTCCAGGAAGATCCCACATGCCGCGGAGCAGCTAAGCCCGTGCGCCACAACTACTGAGCCTGCGGCTCTAGAGCCCGCGAACCACAACTACTTAAGCCAGTGAGCCACAACTACTGAAGCCCATGCGCCTAGAGCCCATGCTCCACAGCAAGAGAAGCCACCACAATGAGAAGCCCACACGCAGCAACAAAGACCCAATGCAGCCATAAATAAATAAATATTTTTAAAAAATGGTTAAGATGGTAAATTTAGTATTATGTGTTTTTATCCCAATAACACAATAAAATAAAAATAAATAAATAATACCTTAAGACTAGGATAAAATATTTAGAAAAGACCCATCTGATAAAGGACTGTTATCCAAAATACACTAAAAAAAACCAAAAAAACTATTAAAACTCAACAATATGAAAATGAACAATCTGATAAAAAAATGGGCCAAAGACCTAATAGATACCTCATTAAAGAAGATATTCAAATGGCAAGTAAGCATATGAAAATATGTTCAACACCATATGTCATTAGGGAATTGCAAATTAAGACAAAAATGAGATACCACTATACACCCATTAGAACGGCCAAAATCCAGAACACTGACAATGAATGCTGGCCAGGATATGGAGTAACAGAACTCTCATTCACTGTTTATGGGAATGCAAAGTGGGTAGCTATGTTGGAGACAGCCTGGAAGCTTCTTATGAACTAAACATACTCTTACCATATGATCCAGTAATCACACTACTTGGCATTTACCAAAATGTACTGAAATCTTACGTCCACACAAAAACCTGCACATGGATGTTTACAGCAGTTTTATTTGTAATTGCCAAAACATGGAAGCACCCAAGATGTCCTTCAGTAAGTGAATGGATAAACAAACTGGTACATCTAGACAATGAAATATTATTTAGTGCAAAAAGAAATGAGCTATCAGCTAGTGGGAAGCAGCCGCATAGCACAGGGAGATCAACTCGGTGCTTTGTGACCACCTAGAGGGGTAGGATAGGGAGGGAGGGTGGGAGAGAGGGAGACGCAAAAGGGAAGAGATATGGGAACATATGTATATGTATAACTGATTCACTTTGTTATAAAGCAGAAACTAACACACCATTGTAAAGCAATTATACTCCAATAAAGATGTTAAAAAAATAAAAATAATAATTTGGACAAAAAAAAAAAGAAATGAGCTATCAAGCCATGAAAAGACGGAGGAAACTTAAATGCATTATTACTAAGTGAAAGAAGCCAATTTGAAAAAGCTACATACTGTATGATTTTCACTACATGACACTATGAAAAAAGGCAAAACTATGGAGACAGTAGAAAGAAGAGTGGTGACCCGGGTTGGAGGGAGGGATGAATAGGCAGAGCACAAAGGATGGTTAGGGCAGTGAAATGATTCTGTATGATACTATAGTGTATAGGTCATTATACATTTGTTCAGACTCACTGAATATGTAACACCAAGAGTGAACACTAATCTAAACTATGGACTTTGGGTTATAATGATGTGCCACTGGAGGTTCACTGATTATAACAAATATGCCCCTCTGGTGAGGGATAATGATTATGAGGAAGGTTGCACCTGTGTGGAGAAAGGGGTGTATGTCAACTCCATAATTTCTGTTCAATTTTGCTGTGAACTTAAAACTGCTCTAAAAAGTAAACCTTACTATTAATTAAAATAAAACCTGTTGGGAACAAAAAATATTATTTGATGTGGACAAGTCTAAAATTTTATCGACAGGACTCTTATTGGGTAATATGAAACAATGATTAATTTGGATAAAAAATTAAATTGCCTGAGATATTAAAAAATAACAATACTTTAGAACTATCATACGCTGCTGGTGAATATAAAATGGTACATAGCTGCTGTGGAAAACAGTTTGGTGGTTCATGAAAAAGTTGACCATAGAGTCACCACATGACCTAGCAATTCTACTCCTACGTATATACCCAAAATAATGGAAAACAGGTGTTCAAACAAAAACTTGTACATGAATATTCATACTACCAATATTCCTAATAGCCAAAGGTAGAAAAAACCTAAAATGTCCATCAACTGATGAATGGATAGACAAAATATGGTATAGCTATATGATGGAGTATTATTCAATCATCAAAAGGAATGAAGTATGGATACAACATGAATGAACCTCAAGAACATAACAATAAGTGACAGAAGCCAGACAAAGGCCACATAGTGTATGATTCCATTTATATGAAATATCTAGAATAGGTAAACCCACAGAGACAGAAAGGAGATTAGTGGTTGCCAGGGCCTGGGTGAGGGAGGAATGTAGCATGACTACTTAATGGCTATGGGGGTTTCCCTTTCCGGGTGGTGAAAATGTTCTGGAACTAGACAGTGTTGATGGTTGCACAGCACTGTGAATGTACGAAATGCCATTGAATTGTACATTTTAAAATGATGTGTTCTTACTGTAATTTTAAAAAAGAATGAACTACAAAACTTAATACCTTGATTTTTTCACTCTCTTTTCTCACTCGCTTTGCATTTTCAATAATGTAAACAGTGCTCTTGTTGACTTCATTGTCAGCTCTGTGCCTCAGCCAATCCTCATATCCCTAGAAGGATAAAAGTAAGGACATAATCAAGCTCACATAATGAAGTAAAATTGTTAATAAATTTCTATAACCCCCTCTATGAGTCACCAGCAGGTATTTATACTTACAGTATTAATTTCAACTCAGAATGCTACAGAGACAACACTGTAAATTTTTGCAGCAAAAACTAAGATATGCTTTCAAAATATCCCTTATAGCTTTATTGCGTTAAAAGGTGTCTGCATTCTATAGGTAAGTATTAATAAAAACACAGGCATTCTTCAATTGTGAAGGATATGATTTATTTTTCTAATTCTGCTCTTATTCAAGTTAATGTTAATTTTTTCTACTCTTTAATTTGAAAAAAGTTTTATTTTCTTATAGAGCGAATCACTTAAATATGTTCTTGTATAGTAGACCGCTGGAGTGATCATCTCTGAGGAAATATAATTCCTCCCCAGGGACAGAGAATAGAAAAGGCAAGGAGGATTATTTTGGAACAGTATCTATCTAAAACTGTTGTTTTAGAGAACGACGGTTAAACTTCTCCACTGACTTGGTGACAAAAAAAAAATACAAATTGTTGTTCATTTTTTAGAGTTAGAAGTAATCAGAGTTCATTTTCCTTTGGGCTTCCTTTGGTCTAGAGTAAATTTAAGCCAAAAGAACTACGGATGGAGGGCGTTCATTTGTTTTAGCATGATCTCCTTCTTTTTTTACATCACTTTGCTTTCTTTCTTTATAATAATGAGTGTACCTTTTCAAATCTAACTGTGTGAAAAATCTCTTGATCGCCTTCCCCTTTTTTTCTCAGCTGCTATATATTCATTCCTCTTCTGTCCTTCTTTATGGCAATGCTAGGCTATCACTTCATATGGTACTTTCTGTGATGTCAGTGAGGAAAGAAAGGCCCCAACATGAACTAGTACTGGGAGTAAACTGAATCAGTAAGAACTTTTGAAAACCATACAGGCTATTCTTAGAACCAGCAATTCTATGATGTTAAAGAAAATAATCCTAACAGCCTAAGGAAATAACATTCCAAAAGTCTTTATATAGCAACCAAACACTTGATAAAATATTCTTGCAGTTCCTGGTAAGCAAGATAGAAGACCAGATAAACCCAAGAGGAAAGATAACCATGTTCCCAATATTGTTAAGCAAACAGTTTGGAAGTTTTGGGGGATACTTTTTAAAGTACTTTTGGTAAGTACTGTCTAAAAGTATCCTTGTCATCTGTCAGGTCCTATGGACTCTCCGATTACATGATAAACATTGCTAACCCACCCCTTCACCTCCAGTTTCCTGTTTCCATTTTCTATTTCATCTGGAATTTTTCAAAGGCACTATCATAAACTGTGGCAGGTATGAACTTTGACAAGAAACAAGAATAAAAGTCTCTTCTACCCATGACCCCCTTCAGCAGCATCAGGAAAGACAACAAAATTAAAGTAAGAAACTCAAGTATGCTCTTGAGTTCTTTGCTATAGGCAGCAATTTAAAAAGTCCACAAGAATGGGAATTTTTCAGACAGATATAGCACAATGAAAAATGTAATGCACATTAAAAATTCACCTCTCACTTCCCCACTGAGCTGCACCTTCTACTTGCTCTCCTTTTAGGGTTATATTCCCCCCTCGCCACACACACACACACAAATAGGAAGAAAGGAGCAAAGAAATTAAAGATGCACCTTACAATAATTTTCATGTGTTTCCAATAAAAACCAAATATAAACTAAATTCATCAAGGATACCCACCCGATATAAATGTGAAAAAGAACCTTTGACAATGAAATTCAAATCAGACAGGACTGAAATGCAAGTACAATTGTAAACTAGAAATTTACCTGTTTGATGGCTGTAACAGTTATAACAAAGAAAAGTGGAAGTCCACTGGTAACTGGGCTAGTTGGTGTGTCTACTGTGACCTAGGTAAAGAAATTAAATTGAAAGTAAAATGAAAATAAGTCATTAACTCATATGCAGCACTTACATGCTACAAACATTTCAGACAGAAATGCAGACAAAACACATTCCGGTAGCAGGGTGAATGTTAACTTTCATTAAAACAAAAGCAATCCACATAGCTGTAAGTTTAAGAAAATAGTTCTAAATTTAGGCTTAGTTTTCATCCCAGCTTGAACTAACCCCTTGACTGAAATACATCCATTCATTTACCATCTATTTGTTGAGCACCATTCTGTCAGCCTCTGTGCTATTACCAGCCAGGCTGTAGAGATGCTGCTTTATTTTAAACAAGATGGAGAAAAGTCCCTGCCCTCACAGAACTGGCAGCGTACAGTGAAAACCAGATATTAAAACAAGTGAGACACTGAGATTTGAAGAGTAAATATAAGTCAACTAGATGGAAGGGAGGGCCTTCCAGGTGCAGTGAAGGGTGTATAGAAAGTCTCTATGGTAGGAGGGCATGTGGCACCTGTAAGAAAATAAAGGAAGCCAGCGGCAAGAGAGCATGTGGTATGAGATGCAGACTAGTCTAGATGTTTTACTAGAGTTTTCTAGTAAAAGAGCTACTTTAGAAATATGTAAAATCACATATATCTTAAAATATAATATTAGTACTTTAACAAGTCTTATTATAATAAGCCCTGAAACAACTTTTTAATTACAGGGCATTTTAAGGTTAGAAATGGATTGAAACTTGGTTAAGGAAATTAAGTTTCTAATGGAGCTCTTACCTGTACAAGGAAAATGATGAGAAAATAAAAATTTGCAATTCTTCTAAACTGTTCAAACAGATTCTTTGGGAGGAAATTCCAAAGTGTATACTGTAAGGGGAGAAGAAAAAAAAGATTATTAGAAAGGAAACTTGAAAAATATTAATAATAATGACTCATGATTCCAAATTATCACAACACTTTGAAAGCATGTTAAAACCCAAACCTCAAACATATGAATAAGCGTGTACTTAGAGGTAGAGTATATAAACATTCTCTTCAGGAGTGAAGTTTTCACTTGGAGCATTCCAATTGGGCCATCTAGTCCCACAGCTTTGCTTTCCCCGACCCGATCTAAATTATGTTCCCTGTTATCTGCTCTCATATCATCCTATACTTCCCTGATAACACTCGTTTCAGTGAATAATTATATGTGTGCATAATTTAATTAAAGTTCCTCCCTCAATAGGCAATGAGATCTATAAGGGCAGACCTCATCTGTCTTTTTATTACTTTTTCTCCAACACCTAGCACAATGCCTGACATAAAGTAGACAATAAATTAGTTGGCTGAGCTAACCTCTGGAATCTTGATCATCATCACAAGTATAATTCTGTCCCTATCACCGCTTCCCACTTCTGTGACAGCTGAGGTGTACACATAACCTTGGGTCATAGAGGGCTTTCATTTTAATCAACAACGCACCACCCTGCGCTTTGTTAACTGGTAATAGGTAAAGGTTTCAACGCTAAATTGTACACTGGCAGGTGGAGAAAACTCTTGGGCCAACTGTCAAATCACAAAGACCTTCTTTCTCACTGATACCTTAAGCTCAAGGACTAGGTAATTTTAAAATCACCAGAAGTTGGATTTTCTAGATGTCTTAATAAAGAAGACCAGAAACCAGAAAGAAAGAAATGTTTCTTTTTTTTTTTTTTTTTTTTTGCGGTACGCGGGCCTCTCACTGCCGCGGCCTCTCCCGTTGCGGAGCACAGGCTCCGGACACGCAGGCTCAGCGGCCACGGCTCACGGGCCCAGCCGCTCCGCAGCATGTGAGATCCTCCCGGACCGGGGCACGAACCCGTGTCCCCTGCATCGGCAGGCGGACTCTCAACCACTGCGCCACCAGGGAAGCCCAAGAAATGTTTCTTAATCTAAAGATCTAAATTTATACTTGAATGGTCTCCATATGTGAGAAAATGTCCATTATATTAGGTGGGGTGACTGAAAAAGCCAAAGTTGTAGAGCATGATACGACAGATGGGGATTTACTACTAACCTCTCTTTAAAAGGTGTATGGGCTCAAGGTTCCGCTAACCTAGAAGGTTCTTCCCCCAGCGTTCACAGAAGTGCCTCAGGGAAGCCCATTCAAAATGAAGTGCATAATCGTGTGTGGATGTGTATCACTTGGGAGAAGAGAGTCCACAGTTTTCAGGTTCCCAAGGCAGCTTGTGACCAAAAATAAAAGGGATCAAAACCACAGATCCAGTCACTTTGAAGCTGCCGTAGTTCAGATCAGCACTTAACTGTCCCGATAACTGAAGGTTAACTTTCTAAAACAACAAACTAAACTCCAACAACAGGCTAACAGCTGAGCTTCTAGCTTGTTGACCTTCTGTTCCTTAAGTAAAGGGTTTTTAATTAAACAAACAAACATTAGGGACTGTTAGAATCCTCCGTGGGGTGTTAACACATTGAGAGGGAACATTTTTTGTTGCTGCTTCCAGGCCCCCACTGTTTGTTTACCTGTGTTTCACTAAATGAACTGTTTCCTTGAGGAACTCTGGTTATTCTCTTTATAGGAAACTACTGCAACACGCCCTCTTCTTTCCTATATCAGGTCATGAACTGCTAAGAGGTCAGGGAGCATATCATACACATCATAAGATCACTTCCCTTCTGTGCCTGCAACAGTGTTCAGCATGTAGAAGGCATACAAGAAATTTTGATTAAAACCTGTGTTTTGGCTATTTCCTCCACTGCTCTAACTAAAAAGCAAATTCAACTTCTCATCTCTTTATTATAATACAAATGCAATATAGCATACATTATTTCAATGCAGTTTTCTAGTAAAACTAGAACTAGATTATGCTCACAAGAGTCACCCCACTTGGTGTGCAGTGCATTTCAGTTCAATTCACCAAGCACCTACTGTGTGCCAGGCAGTGGCCCAGATAACAAAGATTTTAGCAGGTACATTAAAGATCAAGATATGGCTTTTCTACCCAGAAGGAATTTATGTTATAGCCAAAAAGACAATCATGTATTCACTCAATTTAATGTGGTAAATGTCATAAAACTAGCATGAGCAAAATGCTATGGGGATACAGTAGAAGTTATGATTTTTTTCCTACCCAAGAGAAGCTTGAGAAGGCTTCAAAGAGCAGGTGACTTCTGAACTGAGCCTTGAAAGATTAGAGGGAGTTTATGTGGTAAAGAACCCAGTGCAAGAAGGCACAGAGCCATGTAAAAGGAGATTGAATCCATGATGCTCTCTCTGTCCCTCAAATCTAGTTCTCTTTCAGGATGTCCTATTTCAGTGAATGACAAGAACATCTACTTAGCCATGTTATTCAGATACTTGGAAGACACCTTTAACCACCGGTTACAAGAAATTCCTTACCAGTCCTGCCATTTTTGCTTCCTATATATCTCTGGGACATCTTTCCATATTTGCTACCACCGCTGTCCAAGCCATCATCTCTTACCTGGATTACTGCACTGGCCTCCTAAATGGACTCCTTGCCTCCACTTTTGTTCCCTTCCATTCCATTTTCCACAAAGCAATGAGAATGACCTTTTCAAAATGTGGTTCTGTTCACATGACCTCTCCCTGCCTAAAAGCTTCATTTATTTCCCACTGTTTGTGAGATAAAGAATGAACTTTAGTCTAGATGTAGACTAAGAAAAGAGTTTTCTAATTAAAACTGAAATTGAATTAAAGCCACATTAATACCAAGTTATTCATTCAAATTGCCTTGTTTACCTAAAAAGTGGACTCTCATACTTAGTCAGTTGCTACAAACCAAAAACAATGTTAACTCACAGGAATAATATGTTTACAGCATTTGTTTCATACACAATGATGAAAATGGAGATTTTTTTGGGTCATAAGTCAGTTCTTGCTCAGAGAAGTCAGTAAGTGGATTTCTATACTATCTTAATGTGCAACCATAAACTTAAAAAGCAACCGTGACATTCAGAACATGTTTTAAAAGTTTCTCCAGAAAAATGCCAGCTTTCCAAGTATATGCAATGCATTTTTCATCTTCTCTATAGTGAATTAAATAATTGGTACACAAATGTGGCCTCTGATGTGAAAAAACTGTGGGTCACCCCCTCGCACATCTATCACCTAATTTAATTTAAAATCAAAACCATATAACTTTGATAAATAACTTTCCTAATTTAAAGGAGGGAGTAGGAAATGAACCTCAGTTTTGAAAGTCTATTAAATTGAAAAATTTAAACCGAAGGAGGCCTTAGAACATTACTTGTTTGTACCCAAAGTCCAAACATTTTCCAATTTAGCCTTAAAAATGCTGATGTGGAAGCTAAAGCTCCAAATAACTTGTTCTAATATTTCTGTCACGAGAAAACAGGGGAGCAGCTAAAAAACGAAGTAGTAACTATTGAAAAGAACAAAGTTAACAACCAGTTGCGAAGGGGCTAGCAGAAGGAGCACTGACTTTTCTAACTACTGGGATTTGGATGTGATGGAACAAAATCACTAAACTTGAAGATTACTTGTAAATAAGCACCCGGTTGTAAATAAGCAGAGCTGTAGCTTGAATAACTGTTCACTTTGCTAAATGACTGTATCCACTTTATTATCAACTCTCCTTGATGTAGGCATTAAATTCAATTTTGAGCATCACAGCAGTCTACTTCCATTTTCATTACCAATGTCAAGCAGAACTTTCTCATTTTTAAAGTATCACTCTTCCTACCATAAATTTAGAACAGCAAAAGGAGTTACCAAGACAGTACTGCATTAGGATTTTAGCTAAAAAGTCACCTTCAGGGAGTTCGATAAGATGCAAAGACATGTCTAATAAATTCTACTGAAGGTTCTGACTTTTAAAATGAGGGAAAATGCTAGTGTAATTTTAGGCTTGAAACTTTAAGACATTCTTTCACATAGGAGTAAGTTTAACCTTGAGCATAGCTTCAAAGAGTCAGGTGGAGCTCCCTGATTCTTATCCCACTGAAGGGGCCTTCAAGATGAGGCTCAGGATTTTTAAAGGAAAAAAAAATGTAGAACAGAGAAATGTGATGGAAGCTAAAGATCTTAAAGATCTAGCTCCTTTTGCTACAGAAGGGGATTTCCAAGTTTTGTACCAGCCATAAAATTCTGATGATTCCCAAAGTCCCTGCAGAGTGTTCTAAAGTAGGAAGGCCAAAGAGAGAAAGTTTTTCTAAAGAAAGTGTTTGTGTTTCCAAAAGAAGAAAAGGACACTCATTTTATAAGTAAATTAAAACAAATTTTTATCAAAGTGTTTATCTTCAGTGTTCCTTGTATTAACAGGACTTATTCCCAATGATATTACATTACTGATGTCATTTGTAGACAAACAAACAAAAAGCACCCAATTAAGAGAAAGTTATTTTTATTACTAAATGGTTTAGAAAGGAAATCAACACTTGCTACATAGTTGGAAGGCAGCTAACATATTCTATAAATTACACATTTCCTCAATTAAAAGATTCTGGTGCAAATACAATCAGCCAAAGGGCAATGTGAGGAAGAGAAAGTCAAATTATGAAACTCTTTTTCTCTCCAGACTGAAGGCCTCTTTTCAAGAGAGATCACTCCACACATTTGAACACAGGAGACTGAGGAAATCCATAGTACTGCTCAGGACTGCAGTAATAATAATAATAATCACAGAAACATAAATAACAATAGCAGCTACCATCTACTGAGTTGTTACTACATCATGCCAAGCACAGTGCTTAAATGCTTTCTGTGGATTACTTTACTTCAGTCTAATCACAATCCTATGAGCTAAGTAGTTAATACCCCCATTTTACAGATAAGAAAATTGGGACACAGGAAGGTTATATGACTCACTTTAACTTCAAACCCAGGTCTTCTGTCTGTAAGGGTGAAGCTGTTTACCACTACACTATACGCTGTTTTCTTGTAACTATTCATTGTACTAAAATTTCATTCTTTTTGTGAAGTTAGTATACTGTCAATTCCTCTTTTTCTGCTCTAGATCTGTTATGAAAAATAGATCAGTTAATGAGCAGTTAACTAGACAAACTGTAAATATAAAATACAGAGAAAAAAGAGATGTGTTAGTCGATCAATGTAGAAATGTTCACTTCTTTATTCTGGTTTCTAAAACACATACATATATACTGTATATGCAGATCTGTTTAGAAATAATTTATATTTGCTCATGAATTCCCAACTATTTAAAAAAATATCCTATTGCATTGTTTTGCGTATTGGCAAAACTGAAGGTAAACAAAATATGAAAAATATTCTATTCCATTAAATATTCTATTAAACAAAAAGAGTTGAGAATTAACTGAGTCTTCTACGTTCTTTTAATATGTAAAAATTCATGGTATATTAAAACAAATCAATTATCACTAGGTTCAGTGAAAAGTCACTTTACTATCGGTGTGTCACTTTACCATCTTCCCCATAAAACACTATAGGAAACAATAATCCCCTAGAAAGTATTTTATATTTCACTTGATACAAAAGGAGAGAGAAAACTGTGGGAGGAGCCCAAATTGCAAAACAATGTGAAAACAGCTCTTTATTCAGAGCCACTAGACCTCCTTATAAAGCAGTTCTGACCCTGGCTTTATCACTAACTCTGCTTCGTGACCATGTCACTAACTTAATTTCTGTGGGTTGGCTTTCTCCATCTGTAAAATAAGCGAGTTGAACAAGAGGATCTCCTATGATGTTTCAGTTCTATAAGTCTATGATTCTGAGCCAAAGGACTACTATTGATTGTTTTCTTGAATACTATAGGGTGAGTCACAATTTTCAGTGAAAGAACTATTCACTATCTTGGGCACAGGTATGGAAACTTCTAGCTGAGGATAAATTTCTGCCATAAGGATAAAGATTAACAGGAAACAGACATTTTATCCAAATACACTCAGAGTGTTCTATAGCCCAATAGATCTGCTCATTAGGCAATATAGTTTTCATTCATTCTGTCCGCATTTTACATGTTACTCTCCCAGCTAAGCATAATCTGTCTGTATTTTTTTAACATCTTTATTGGAGTATAATTTTTTACAATGGTGTGTTAGTTTCTGCTGTATAACAAAGTGAATCAGCTATACATATATCCCCATATCCCCTCCCTCTTGCGTCTCCCTTCCACCCTCCCTATCCCACCCCTCTAGGTGGTCACAAAGCACTGAGCTGATCTCCCTGTGCTATGAGGCTGCTTCCCACTAGCTATCTATTTTACATTTGGTAGTGTATATATGCCCATGCCACTCTCTCACTTCGTCCCAGTTTACCCTTGCCCCTCCCCGTGTCTGTATATCACTACCCAAAAAGAAATCACATGTACATTTGAAAACCAAAATGTTAAGTTTGCAAAGGAAGGGCATAATTTTGTGTTTCAGGTCCTCAGTGTTTGCCAACATTCAGTGAACCAACCGTCAGCAACATGTGAGATCTACCTTACATTAGGAAGTGAGGAAAATTATCAAGATCTGTGCCATGCTATAAGAGACAGCAGTGGGCCAGCAATCTAGCACCTAGCACCTAACCTAGTCAGTCAAAGGTAAAGATAAGCAAACTAATACTTGTAGAATGATGACTACTGGATACTAGGATCTGTAAAGAACGCTATCACATAAGCTCTATTTCACTAATGAGGACATTCAGACTGAGAGATTAATTTGGCCAAAGTCGCACAGCTAGTAAATGATCAGGCCAGGATTTAAACAGGTCTTCAGACTTTCAGGCCACTCCTTTTAGTATTACACAGTGCTAAAGTAAGATGATTATTCAAATGGTAATACAGCTACAGTGACTGAACCCTTAACTGTTTAAGCAGTGTACAGAACAGAATGTACCCATTAGGACCCAGGAGTGTACTTGAGAAGCTCTGCAATGGAATAGAAAGAGACACAAATGTCATTCTAAGATAACACCCTCCAGAAGAATGTAAATTATTTACAACCCAGTCCATCCACTTAAGGGCAATTCAGAAAGCTCTGGGCAAGTAAATAATTCCACGTTTAGCACACTTCAAGACTTAAAGTCATACATATAATCAACAGGCAATGTGAATCATAGTGGAGGGCAAGTAAATGACCTTTCAGCTGTAACAAGACAAAGTGATGCTTTTAAAAAAACTGCCTTTTGGTGGAATAATTACCACAGTTCGTCTATGATTGGTATAAGTGCACATCCAGGTATACATATATAAATGTACCAGCTTCCAGCAAATATAAAAATAAGTTTTATCTGGCTCACTATATGAACATCTATTGAGTTAAAAAACAACTTACCTTAGATGAGACTATTCTATTATCACAAAATTTTTGTGCAATGTATGCTTCTGTTTCTGAAACTGGATGATTGCCAACAAATACTGTGCGTGTACCAACTCGTTTCTCTTCTCCAGCACACTGACCAAGAGAAAGAGGAAAAGTCAGTTTTTCATCACATTTCTCCATGCTTCTACCAAGCTCAGAATTCTTGTCTTAACATGTTTGGCTATTGTCTAGAGAGAGAGAGTAGTAGGGGGAGAGGAGAAAACCTTGTTAGGAAATTCAAACTCCACTAAGCTCTTAGTTGCTGACTTAGTGAAGATTATTAGTAGAAGTTTTGTTTGAGCCAACTGCTCTGAGGCCAACATTGCAATTCTAAATGTTTAAATTGAAGTAAGTATCCTAGAGAAACAGTATTTTTACTGCCAATCATTTTTCTTTCATCCACACAGTCTCAACCATCACTATCACAGCAACATACTAACTTAGGAAAGGTCAGATTGGGAATATTTATTTTATTATACAACAACTATTGAGGACAACCTTTGTCAATTTCCTTACTAGACAGCAGAATGCTCTAAACACAAAATAATTGCCTATAAATACACAGGAATATATTGAATAGAATGGCTGCCTCTCTTAATGGAATGATCAACTATTTCTACAAAGAAAAGTTGTAATTGTTTGGCTTTACAAGGAAAGACATTCTTTTGTGATCTCTCAGAGCCTACTGTCAAAAAGTCCCATTTCAGGGCTTCCCTGGTGGCGCAGTGGTTGAGAGTCCACCTGCCGATGCAGGGGACACGGGTTCGTGCCCCGGTTCGGGAGGATCCCGCATGCCGTACAGCGGCTGGGCCCGTGAGCCATGGCCGCTGAGCCTGCGCGTCCGGAGCCTGTGCTCCGCAACGGGAGAGGCCTGCGTACCGCAAGTCATGCACAACAAAAAAAAAAGTCCCATTTCACACAATACAGCTCTAATGCCCCTTTTATATTTTTAAAAAAGAGGTTCATTGAATCTAGAAGTCGCAAGGTTGAGCTCCATTTTTACCTCACCCTTTTATTTCACTGAGGCTTCACTTTCCTTATTTTAAATCAGGATAATATACCTTCTTATATAAATCTGGGATAGTCTCTTTTGATGGTACTATTTTATGTTTGAGACAACCATTTTTTTAAGTAAAAAGTATGATAAAAACCAATATCCACTTACATATTTCCATTATTTTTTTAAAAAAAGATAACTATAATTTCCAACCTAAAATGTTTTAAAGTATGTAGCCACAAAGATTTCCCTTCAATTATCTATTTAAAGGTCAAAGACATAACTCTCTACTCCCAAAATAATCATTTTAAGCAAGACTACTTAGAGGTTGCAAAGTTCTCCAAATGTCTATGCTTGGATGTATTCCAGTCTGAATTTTTGTACCTCACATAGATATAGGGAAAATAATTTTTCAGATTAAAAGAACAAGAATTACCCTAAAATACAGATAAGACCTCTTGCCTCACCATTTTCATTTTAAGCTTATTAAATAATTATTTAGTGGGGTATTGCCTCCAAAATCCATAGGGAATCAATAGAAAATTAACTGAGATAAATTGAAGTAGGAGAGATTTAGCCTGTATATAAAGGATAACTTCTGGAAATCCACCCTGGCATGCACTAAGGGAGCATTCAATCTATGGCAACCTGGAAAAAGTAAGTTATCAATGCTGGACAACTTAGCTATTTACCTGCCTGCCCCAAGACAGGGCATTAGAACAGCTGATTGTACCAGGTCCTTCGCGTGCTAAGGGTCAGTGATTAACAGGTAAATTTTCAAACAGTTCCTGGAAACCAGTAAACAATACCTTTACCAGAATGGTAACTATATACATTTTGATTCAGGGACTGACTTTGTTTGCAACTGTAATATACATGGTCTGACGCAGCTTACTAATAAGAGCACTAAATTTTCCATAATATCCTTTTTGCAAAAAGTAAACTGAAAGTGAATACACCTGCTTAAAAGTATACTTTATTTTGCTTCCCCTACCCTAGTTTTCTGTTGCAAGTTACGGTACCAATGTAGTCTGTCTACAACAGACCTGAACCTATTATGTACCAATCTGAAGTACAGAAATTGTCAAGTCCATATACACACTACAATTTAAATCCTTTAATTTAATATTCACATGGTTGTTTAGTTTTCCACACAAGCAAGAAGTGGCTATGGAGTAAATAAGGAAGAGCTACCTTTCATGCCAGTTCTCAGATCATTCAACAAATGAAAACAGGGAAGAGGAAAAGAGGTAGAAGATCAGCGAAGCAGGATGTTTCCTGCACTGCCAATATAGTTCTCCTCAGTTAACAGTGGCCACTTAAAACCCAACTGAACTAGCACTTCCCCAATTCTGAATTGTCTTCAACTTTCTTCTGTGGCAGATAACAACATTCCAAAGAACAAAAGGAAGGAACAAGCATAAAGCAATTTTTCAGGCACATGATATTTTTATGAATTCTGTGCATTTGCATAGCATTTACAGTTTTACTAAGACTTTCCCCCACATATTACCTCTGATATCTTTCAAGTAAGGCTTAAGTGACCTCTATCTCCATTAAACTGGAGAAAATGGATTGAAATTGCTGTGCAGGTTTGGGGAGCGGGGAGAGGGGGATAGGAGATCTCAGCAGTGATCATTGTTAGATGTGGAAATAGGAACCCAAGAGAACTTGTAAAATGTCCACTCCTGAGGATTTTTCAAAAAAGGGCAAAGTCTCCTCAGCTCAGGTGGGTTTGGGTTTGGAGCTGCCTGAGGACTGGGGGTGGGGTGGGGTGAAATAGATGACTTTTCAATGCCTGTTTTGATCTAAAAATCTGATGAGCCCGCAATTTCTGGTAGAATTTGCTGCAACCATATAACGTTGTTTGGTTCACATAAAAATGGCAAAGCTGAACACATGTGTAAATTCACTGTAATTTTACACTTGCTGCCAATGCAGAGTGTTAGAACAGTGGTTTTAGTTCCTGTGATTTTGAATAATGTAGGTGCCTTAGCCAAGGGAGAGGAACTCCAAGTTCGAATTATTAAAAAAAACAAAATTCCCACTTGGATGGCACACAGTGTAGTCTGGAGTGGGAGTGTATGATTCCTGCCACCTCATAATGAATTTTAATTCATTAGGAGTCCATCCTGTGTTGAAGTGCTTCCCATGCAAATGTTCTTAGGAACAGCATTTATTAAAACTGAAATGTGCTAGCAACAATTCTATTTTAATGATACAGCATACACTACAATTAAAAGGGTGGAAAAATAAAAGTGTATTTATAGCAATATGAATTAACAGAGAAATCAATTTAATTGTCTTCTTCATGATAAAAATCACCCTTTTGTACTCTTGAATTATACCTCCATACTATAAACTGAATATTGTTTTTTTAAAAAGTAATTTATACCAAAACATAGTCTCTCAATAAAAACCAGAGTAAAATGGTACTGTTATTCAACTAGTACCATCTTTTTTTTCTTAATTTACTTTACTGAAGTATAGTTGATTTACAATGTTGTGTTAATTTCTGCTGTACAGCAAAGTGATTCAGTTATGCACATATATACATTCTTTCTCATATTCTTTTCCATTATGGCTTATCAGAGGATATTGAATATAGTTGCCTGTACTATACAGTAGGACCTTGTTGTTTATCCATTCTGTATATAATAGTTTGCATCTGCTAATCTGAGGCAATATATTTTTCGAGAAACTTTCTAAGAAGTAGTTTATTTACACAAGAGTCACAGCATAGATTTGATAACTCATTAAGTTATTTAGGAACCATTTATGGATAGTTTGCTAGGTCCAATGGGAAATAAAATCATCGATAATGTCAGCTAACATTTACTGAGAACTGATTTTGTGTTCTAAGTGGTTAATACACAGTATCTCAAGACATCCTTACAGCTACCCTATGAGGTAGATACTCTTATTATACCCATGCCCCAGATAACAGCAAAGAAAAAAATAAACAGCAGCCAAAGTGGAAGCACAGAGAGTTTTTGCAGCTTGCCCAGCATCACATTTCATAAGTGGTACGGTAGTCAGGACAATAAGGATTTTACAGTATTATAAGGAAAATGTATGACACATAAAAACATTTTAATAGAAAGTAAAAGCTTCTATGCATCATAAGAATTAAACAGAATGGTCAACTAGTACCATCTTAAAATCCTATGCTTTCGCTAGTCATAAACAAAGAAAGCTGCTGGAATTATAATTCATTTCTTGATTGCCTCTAGACCAGTGACTCAAAAAGAACTGAGGGAAGATTAAGACCTTAATACAAGACTGTCATTATGAAAGTTGGCACAGGTTCTGAAACAGAGCTCACCTCTCCATCCATTCCAGGTGTTGGCAGACTTAAATTTATCACTTAATCATAGATCAGTGGTTCTTAAGTCTGGTCACACGTTGTCTTTAAACATAATACCAATGGCTGGGTCTTTAATATTTAATTTAATTTTTCTCAAAGCTCCCCAGGTGACAATTCTGATTTGTAGCCAGGGCTGAGAATGATTGCCACAGAACCTCTCTCTTTGAATTAATGATTGACCTTAACTAACATCCTACAAGTTTTTAGTACACCAGCCACAATCCTACACTTTTTAATTAAAATAGTTTAAATTGGCTTTTCAAAGGATAAAAATATACAAATAACCATCAAATAGCAACCCCTCTGACCATTTTAAGCTGCTCACAAAATGAGATTCTCCTTCAATATTCATTTTGCATGTGGCTAATACCCATCAATTATTCAGATCAATGATAATGAAAATTACAGGCCCTGAAAACATGCAAAGGTACTCGGGTTATCAGCAAATAATCATCAATGTCATCTCCAATGATCACTACATTACTTTTATTAATCATCAGACTGCTCTTTGTGAGTTACTAAGGAAGTAAGAGGACAGCTCTCCCTTATCGGTGGAGAGCTCTTCCACATCTGTGGATTCAAGCAACTTCAGATCAAAAATATTTTGGGGGTGGGGGGAGATCCAGAAATTCCAAAAAGCAAAACTTGAATTTGTCGTGCACCTAAAAACTACTTACATAGCATTTACATTATACTAGGTATTATAAGTAATTTAGAGATGTATATTAG